AGCGCATCCCTGCACCCTGTGTGGCCTTGTTCCTGAGGACACGGTCTCTGAGGCCCGGCCCACCCCCTGGGGCCACCTGAGTGAGCCCAGGGACTGAGCGAGGCCAGCGCAGCGTGAGCAGAGACTCTTGTAACTACATAGCGACATGGCCTGCCCGAGCAGACCCGTAACTGTCTCCAGAGCCACACATGACTCCCACGCACTCCCACACTGCTTCTCTCCCCAAGTCGCACCTGAGTGGCGCCCGATTTAGAGGGGTGGGCAGGAGCAGCTATGTGATTTGTGAGGCCCAGCGCAGAAGGAAGATGTGAGGCCACGGAGTCCACAATGATTAAGAATTTCAAGATGGTGACATCAGCACACTGAACCCAGAGTGGGGCCCTGCTAAGCACGGCCCTGTGACTGCACAGGTCTCAGGCTGGAAGCCAGCCCTGGGAGTAGGGACAGACACCCCCTGGAACACCACCTATTGAGAATCTGGGGCAAGGAACTCCTTGCTGTGGTGAAAACCCACAGTGCAGGCAGGGGCTGTGAGGGAGGAGGCCAGGGGTCCTGAAGGCCGTGGCTGCATCCTCACAGAAAACCTGGGCTGGATGTGAAGCTGTCAGGAGCGTGACAGGACTAGTGTCCCCTGGGTCCCCGGTGCTGAGTTCACGCTGTCCCTCTTGTACTTTGGATAGGAGAAGCCCTAAGCCCAAGCCCCTAAGTGCCTGCCTTTGCTAAGTTAGAGCTGCTTTCTGACACTCAAAAAGTCCAGCAGCGCTAAGGTTCCTGGACTTCATCCAGCAGGCAGAAGAGCTGCCACCCTTGGTAGTGGCAAGGGGCAGGTGGAGCCAAGGAGCAGGCACTGGGGGAGGGCACTGGGGACAGAGCCCTCTGGTGGACGTGGAGGCACCTGAGACTGCGGGAGTCAAAAGTCCCTTGTAGAAAGGGCGTCCAGGCTCAGTGGTTAGCCCAGGGCTCCAGGTGAGCCACAAGAACCAAGGTTCAAGGTCCGGAGCCCAAGGGAGCAGGAGATGCCGGTGCACACCTGAGTTCTGGAGGCAGCGCAGCCTCCTCCTGGGGCCTCACTCCTCTATCTGTCAGTGTCGGGTGCTGCTCCTTCCTTGCAGTTTTTGCCTAAGGGTGGTCCCCCATCCCTCCCTTATCTGAGAGAGCCTGGAATCTTCAAAAGCACTTGACTAAAGGCTGGAGAGTGTGGAGAGAAATAAAGACAAGGAGCCCAAGGGATCTGGAGACGCCCAAGAGAGGTCTTGCACCTGGGGCTGGCTGCACCTTTTTCTAGGGGCAGAGAGGGTGTCCAAGGAGCTCCCCTGTAGTCTCTCAGCGTCAGATGAGCTCTCATTTCCCCTCTTCCCTTCGGAGCTGAGGTGGGGAACGTACCATCAGATCAAGCAGTTCCCCCTGTAGGAGTCCATCCTACAGAAAACGTTACACTCAGGGACATTCACTGCAGCCTCGCCTGTAATATTGCAATAGCTGTGTGCGCAGCGCGCGCGCGCGTGTGTGTGTGTGTGTGTGTGTGTGTGTGTGTATGTTTGTGTATTGTAGAAACAGGTCTGGAAGCACACAGTCCAAACTATTCACAGCAGTTACCTCTACGGAAGGAAGGGAGTGGGGAAGGAAGAGAGGCTTTCCTCTGTCTCTGTACACTTTCTAAACTTCTGCAAAGTTTGAATTTTTTATTTTTCTAACATGTATTCAGGTATAAATTATAGAATGTGTAATTTTTAAATAATGACAATTTAAAAAAATAACATTATACCAAATGTTGCAAGTTAGAGAGAAGAACATGAAGTTGGATGTCACAGATTTGAAGGGGTGTTCAGCCTCATGGTAATTTCATTTCCTGCTCCGGTTTTCAGGGGTCCAGGGCAGGACTGGAGGAAGGGCTGCAAGTTGACCCAGGAGAAGGCAGAAAGCTAAGGTGTGTGGGATCAGCAGTGGAGGGTGGGGAACCCGTGGCCTCAAGGCCACACGGGGCCCTCCAGATATCCAAGTGTGGACCCCGGATGAATCCAAACGTCAAAGAACAAATCCTGTCACATGTGCATTCAGTGAAAAGGCCACGTGAGCCCCCAAGGCCGCAGGTTCCCCTCCCATTATCAGTGAGCCCATTTAATCTTTGCAAGCTATATAGGAATCCTAGATTTGCAGGGGAGGAAAGCGGTCAGAGACCAAGCCAGGAGCGCAAAGTCTAGGAGACGGCGGGGCTGGGATTCAGATCAAGGGTCCCCCACCTGTGCTGCCTCCAGCCCAGGTCCGTGGGGGAAGAGCGGGAGGGTGAAGAACAGGGTGCCAGGGGCACAGTGTGTGACTTGCTGCCCCCGGGTGGAGAAGTCAAGCCAGGAGGGAGAACTGGCTATACAGAGGATGGATGTTAGCAGAAGAGGTGTGGACACAGAGCAGGTTTGGGTTTCAGACAAGCAAAGCTGTGTGGGACCCAGCGTCTTCATGCCTCTGATGAACTGGTGAGGGCCTCTGAGCGCTGAGACGTCTCCTGGGAATGGACCGACCTGAACCCACAAAATGTGGTGGGGGCTGACGGGAGGCCGGGCCTAGGTCCCTTGGTTGTCTTCTTTCCCGGCCCCTGGGAGTAAGAACTGGAGTAAGCATTCAACTAGCTGTCCGAGCCTTGGGGGGTCAAGCAGCTCTGGCTGGGGGCGCTACACCTGGGGGAAGTGGATGGGGGCTGCTGATGGAGTGTGTTCTACTTCCTGCCACAGAACTGTGAGGCTCCCACGGGGGTGACGTGGTGGGTGTCCTACCTTCCAAAATGCCTGGGACTGTCCATGAGCTCCTGAGTCACCTCCCAGGGGTGGGATGCTTTGCAGGGGCCTGGGACACCTGGTGCGTTAGTGAGTGGCACAGGCCAGTGAGGTTTGGGTGTGATCCCTTCCCCGTCCCCTGTCACCAAGACCTGGGGAAGCTGTGGTTTCACAGGGCAGAGGAGTGCGCCAGGACCTCAGGTGGAGGTTATAGGGAAGGAGGGCGGGGTAGAATGAACTGTGACCTCCTGGAGAGTCCCGGGCTGAGCTCTGGGTGTGAGAAAAAGTGGGCTGAGACCCCAGGAGCAGACAGGTGACTCCGACCGTTCCTATGTGCTCCTGCTCAGTTCCTAGCCTTAGCCTAGGACTTACTCTGTAAGTCCAGGGGCCCCAAATTGCAGAGGTGGCGATCAATCCACACAGCTTTTTGGGAACAGTGAGGGTAAGGGACCAGGGCACCCGGAGGGCACCAGAACGATGGGGGTGGGGGCCACTGGTTTTTCATGCCAGCCCCAGTCCCCACCCTCCTGATCAGTGCCTGGCTCAAGGACTTTCAAGGGGAGGCGGGATGAGGAGGGCCTGCCTGCAAGGGGACAGCCAAGAGGGCTGGAGCCCCAGGGGCGGCAAGGTCAGCCCCAGTCGTCAAGGCCGCACTTCTCCCCGGGGTGGGGAGGAGATGCTGCTTTCTTTGGTCGGCCTTGGACTCTGGTGCTTCAAAGCGTTTTCTCCACGAATTATCCTTCATTCACGGGGATCCAGATTCTACGTGGAAAAATTACCTCCTAAAATTGCAGATCAAAGGCAGGAAACACCCTACAATTTCAGTGGAATAAGGGGTGACGTTTATCATCTTTTCCTGTGTTTTTCAAGACATCTTCATGGAGCCGGTGGTTCTTGTATAAGGCAGAGGCATAAATATTATTGTTGCCTAATGTGTTTAAATCCTGGAGCCACGTGCCAGTGGTTTGGGCCAGCTTGGCTGGTAAGGCAGGCAACTGGCTCAGAACCGCTCCCTGGTTTTTGCTCTGCCACCGTCGGGAACCTCGCGGCAAGCACCCTGGGGAAAGGTTCCAGGGCTGCTGCAGGGGACCTGGCTCCTGAGCATATCCCAGCGCTAAGCAGGGACTCCAGCCGGGGCACGCCTCCGGGTCTTTCCGGTAGCCGGGCCTCTCAGAGTCGCTCCCGGGCCGCCCTGGGACAGGTTCGGACAGTGGCAGAGGAAGGGAAGGAGCCGGTCGCGCCGCGCCAGGGTCCCGCAGACGGGAAGCCCAGGGAGGGCGGGAGGGCTGGCAGGGGTCGGAGGTGGCCTGTTCCCGGGTTGGCCGCCCTCCAGCTGAAGGGGAGGAGCCCCAGCCACAGAGACGTTAAGTGACTGGCCTGAGGTCACACAGCAAGCTGGTGGCGGTGTGTGTGTCTGGCCTGTCCGAGGGTGCTCACAGGCTCCAGCCCTCTGCCCCGGTTCTGCTCCTGCCCGTACGGTGCCTCTGGGGTCTCGAACAAGGAGGGCAGGTGCCCCCAGCCTCCCACGAACCATAACTCCGCAGCCGCCCAGACGCCATGGAGCCCGAGGCGCGGCTCCCCGCAAAGATGGCGCACCCCCGCCCGGGACCGGAGCTTGGCGCCCTCGCTGACACCCGCAGGGCGGTCCTTGCACCCGCCTTGGTGACAGTTCCAAGGCTCAGATACAGTGACCCGAGGGAGGTCACGTAGCTGCTAAGTTACAGAGCGGGCATTCGATCACGGCGGTCTGGCGGCCCCGCGCCAGAGGTGGCTGTGTGTCCCTGGGCAAGTCCCTTTACTTAGCTGGGCTACCCTGTTAAGCGCCCTCCTCCCTGGCCGCGCACGCTCAGTCGCGGGCGGCGCTGGGCGGCGGGGGCGCCAGCTGCTCTGCGTTGACGCTGGCGCTCGCCGGAGGTCACCGCTGGGGGTTGGGCGCGGCGAGCCGCAGGCAGGACCCGGCCCGGATCGCGGAGCGGGAGCCGCACGCGCGGGACTCCTGCGTGTGCGCAGCCGCTCCGGAACTGCTCGACGGTGCGGCCCGAGGCCAGGGGCAGCCCGGGCGCCCCCCTCCCTGCTCCAGTGGGCGTGGCCTGGCCGCCCCGACGGCGTCCTCAGAGCCGCGCGCCTCCACGCCCGGACGGCAGGAGCGTCTGGGCTAGCCTCGTCCCCACTGGGCTCTGCCCAGGGCCGCTTCCTCCCAAGCGGCGGCCCAGCCGTCCGGGCGGTGTGGGTGTCCACAGTGAGGTGGAGTCGGAACCCGGGTGGCGGCGGACCTGGGGCGGGGCCGGGGCCGGGCCCAGGCGCGGCGGGGAGCTCCCTGGCCCGGGGGTCGCTCGCGCGGCGCGGACTCCCAGGCTCCGGTTAGTGGAGCGCAAATCTCCGCCCCGCGATTCCCCAGCAGCGCGGCGTGGCTGTGGCGAGCGCGGCGAGGTGAGGGAGGCGGCGGCTCCCGCCTCACGAAGGGCATGTTCGGAGGGGCGGCCGCGGTGAGCCGCCTGCCCCAGCGCCCCCTCCTCAGCGCCGCGCCCACAGCGCGATAAAAAAGCGGCCGCGCTTCCTGACTCCAGACCCGCGCTCGTCGCCGCCGCCAGCCAGGCGGCGATGACTGGGCGCCCGCGGCGGCCCCGAGGCGCCGGGTGGACCCTTTGCTGACTGGATCGCGGCTGCCTGCCGGCGTGTCCACGGCGCCACAGCCGGCATGGGCTGCGCCCCGAGCATCCGCATTTCTGAGGGCCGGGCGGTGTACCAGGGCGGCAAGGGGGCCGAGGTCGCCCCGGGGCCCGCGGCGCCGCTGTCCTCTTCTGGCGGGCCGTGCCTCGTACAGAGCCAGAAGACGGCCGCCCAGCCCCCGGCCCGGGGCGCCAGCCTCCCGGAGTCCGAGCACCGCGACGGCAGCGGCAAGAAGGTAAGAGGCGCGCTCGGCGTGGTGCAGCCCCTCGTCCGCGGCGAAAGCCGGGCAGTCCCGCGGGGGCCGGGCGGGCTCCCTGCCGGGCCGCGGTGTCCTCTCGCCCTCTTGGGGCGGCTTCCACAAACGCCAGGCGCCCGCCTGGCCCGGCAGCGTGCAGAGGAGGACGGACGCCGTCCAGGGGACGCTGAATGGCAGCCATGCGGTTAGGACGCCGGCCGAGCCCGGGGTCGGCTCCTGGGACACATCCGGCGACGCCGCGGGCAGCAGGGCTGCTGTGAGCCTGTGGTGGCGCTTGAGTCAGTTCCCTGTCAAAGAGCCAGCGCTGCAGAGGAGCCCCCACGGTCTCCTGGCGCTCCCCGGAAATGTGAAGTCAGTGTGCACTTTGTTCTTTGGGTCCCTGGTAGAAAGGGAAGGACAGCTGGCCCGCTGAGCCTGGGTGCTGGACCCCGCCACCGTTCGCCTCTGTCAGCTTTGCACGTACAGTTGCAGTTTTCCATTTTCTTTGGGGCTGCAGAGACGTCATCTGGAGCAGCAGCTTTGCTCTATCGCACGTGTACCGAGGCTCGCGTGTACAGTACACATTCCGTATTTAAAGCGTGTGTAGTTGGAAAATACTACCCGAAAGGCGGTGTTTGAAGCGTTCAGCAGAAAGAAGCCTCTTATTGAGCAGTCTTACTGGGGCGTTTTGTGACTGTTAGTATCACTTCTTTTAATTGCGCGTGTTCTCCAGCGCGTGTTGCCTTGGCTTATGTTTTGTCGAAGTTTCTGGGTTTAGTCTTTGTTAAGGTTTTCTAAAAGGAAGCGAAAAAGGAAAAATTTGTTCGTTAAGGCACACAGCAGCTTTCCAGTTCTCCGATTTTAAATTTTAAAGCTCGAACTCGTGTAGGTTTATGTTTTATTAAAGTAGTAAAAATAAAAAACCTAGTGTGCATGGCTGCATATTGTTGAATATCATCCCTCTCACCATCAATTTTTAGGAGAGTCATTTGAAAAATTTTCTTGATTTTTGTTGCTTTCCCAGGACTGTTAAACCTGGGAAGGTTGAGGGATATAGCTTGATCTGCTTTCTGTTTTAAGTTTCTAGCAGTCATCCTGATAACTTTTTCCATATGAAAGGGAAAAGTCTTTTTCAGTGTTGCATAACAGAGTTGAAATCCCCACTCCTCTCAGACCCTAAGTGAAACCTCATCTTTGTTCTAATTATCATGAGTTGAATTCCTTCTCCTACAGAATCTTTAAAGAAGATTGTGGCGGTAGGCTGTTAACCCAGGCTGCTCTTAGTATCAGTGTAAAGCTCGTGCATTAAGCCTACCTAACTAGCTTAGGGGAAAAAAAAAAAGCATTCCGTAGGCAAAGTTGAATGTGGAAACGTTAACTTTCAAGCTTTCAAGTTTTTGACCCAAATCTAACATTGGTTATTTTGCATTAACTAGTATTATACTTTTAGATTATCAAAGTAGCCCTTTCAGTAAGAGGCCTGTGTGTGTCTGACAGGCCTTTTTGCAGTGGGCTCGGTGTCCTAAAATTCACCTTGGTGTCTTACAAGCCTCCCAGTGCAGCACCTTGCTCTTCTGCTACCCACAGTGCCTACTTCTAAGAGTCCCATGTCACATATTCTGCCACAGGGGCAGACCATTGCCTTGTGTTGGGGCCCCAAAATAGATTCATACTTACAGTGCCCCGTGCAGTGGCATGCTACATAAATGTTCATTTTTTTGTTAACTGAGTGGTGAGACATTTTTAATTATTGGAATTTGATTTTGTAAAGCCTCCAATATAGGCTTTAAGATAATATTAGTATTTTTCAGAGCAGGAGTCAAATTATAAATTATAACAACAGAAATAATACTTGTTATTCATGAACCGTACATACTGATACCACATCTCAGCTACAGATGTTTGTATTTAGTCGCAGCAGATAATAGAGCAGAGGTAAATATCAGCATTTTTTTAGTTCAACATTTTTTTTTCTTTAAAGGAATGAATCTTATAAGATACTAAATATAGCGTAGAATTCATGTTTAGAGAAGATAAAGTTTCAGCAATTTAGCAAAATCAAGTTATTATGAAATTAATTTTAGGTTCTTTATATGAACTTTTCAAGATCCAATTTTAATTCATTAAAAAAGTTCTTAAAATGCAGCAAGTCCATATATCTTTGAATTTCAACAAGAAATTTTTGGGGGGAAGTTTTTATTGTCCTGTAGCATATAATAAATACCAGTTCGTCAGAGTGGTTGGGAGACTGATAATTAATCGCGTTTTCAAATGAAGCAGTGTGTGCCCTACACTGCAGTGTGTCCCACCTGTGTTCCATGGAGCAATTGTGGATTGTTAATCAGTATTACATGAAAAAAGAGTTCCACAGTCAAGTAAGTTTGGGAAATAAATACAGGTTGAGAATGCCTAATCTGAAAACTGGAAATCCAGAATGTTCCACACTCCGAAACTTGTTGAGCGCCAACATGATGCTCAAAGGAAATGCAAACCGGTGCATTTCAGATTTCAGATTTTCAGATTAGGGATGCTGACCTAGTTAAGTATAACACATATATTCCAAAATAAAAAAAAAAATCTGAAATGCGAAACCCTTCTGGTCCCAAGCATTTGGGATAAGGGATACTAGACAACCTATACTGGCTCCAACTACTTTCATCCGGGACTTGTCAGAGAACTTAAATTTCTTAAAATGCTTTGTGAATCTAATTGGTGTTTGGAGTGTGCAGCATTTCCTAAACTTTTTGATTATGAAGCCCTTTTCTTGAGGCAGGCCGCATGCCGAGATCTGATTCCTTGTGTGAGCTACCAATATTCAAAGTAGAAGAAACATACTTAACAGTAAAAACAAATGTAATTTGCTTCTTAACGATTCCAGAGGTAATTCAGAATCTCGTAGTGCCTTAGGCTGGTTGTATGAACTGATTTAAGTGTTCCTAAAAATGCTCTCTGGCTGTTTGTTCAGTCCAGGAGTTATAGTCTGTGTGGTTACAGATAATGAATGCTGTGTTCAGTCTGAACACTTACAGTTTTGTTTATTTTTAATCAGTGTGAGTTTTAACTGTAACATTTCAGTATTTTCTTGTCAGTCTTTTTACCCCGCTTGCCCTTTCCTTAGCTAGGACTTGAGTTGTCCTTGAGAGATTTTGAGGTAGTGTTAAAGGGGACCCTGTGCTCACCCTCCCTCGT